TTACAATGGCAGAAGAAACATGAAAAATGGTAATCTATTTACTATATACCACACTGCCTTTAATAAAAGTCAGTAACATATATTCTGCCTACTCCATGGATAGTCTCATGCTAAGCCTCTTGTTGGTGTGTAAGCCTATATAATGTTGCCTGTATCACAATAATTTCTGTGAATCTTAAAATACTGCTGACATTTTCTTGTATTAAACATTAGAAACAGATCCAGAGGGAACTGTGCCTCATTATTTTTCTTTGAACTTTTCTTTCTTTCTTAAACTTCCTCATTAAATTAGCCATTTTCTTCCTTGGATTTAAAAGTAGCTGACACAAAAGGGCCACACTGATGGTATAGTAATGAGTTTTACAGAATCAATTTTTAATTTTAAAATGACTAAATTGGAAGGGAGATAAAGCATGCAATTAAAACAAATTAAAACTGATAATGATTATCTGTAGAAAAAATTGTGTCCTGGTTTTTTCCAGTATGCCATACCCCTTACAAAACTAATTCCAGTCCCTTCAGAGTTACTTGTTAGAGGTAAATTTTTTTTAATACTCTCCTGTAACAGAAAAGCTGAATTCCTTGGCAAAGATCAATTGTATGATATGAGTTTTGAGCCATAGTTTATGGTTTATTTTTAATTGCATATTTCCAGAATTTTGTGAAATTTTTTACAAGTAATTTCTAAGTGATAGTCACAAACACATGTGAACACACATATCCATACACAATAATCCACAAATCACAAATGCATCTTGTAAGGTGTGGTGAAAATTTATGATGGTTATTTTTTAATGTTTTCAACTCTGTTCAGGTTGTAATTCAAATTTGCTCATACCAAAATCCTGAGCTAGTTTTAGTACTCTCTTTTCTCAATTCTTTTTTTTTTACGTGCTAACAGCTGTCTACTTATTATTATTATTATTATTATTATACTTTAAGTTCTAGGGTACATGTGCACAATGTGCAGGTTTGTTACATATGTATACTTGTGCCATGTTGGTGTGCTGCACCCATCAACTCGTCAGCACCCATCAACTCGTCATTTACATCAGGTATAACTCCCAATGCCATCCCTTCCCCCTCCCCCCTCCCCACAATAGGCCCCAGTGTGTGATGTTCCCCTTCCAGAGTCCAAGTGATCTCAGTGTTCAATTCCCACCTATGAGTGAGAACATGTGGTGTTTGGTTTTCTGTTCTTGCGATAGTTTGCTGAGAATGATGGTTTCCAGCTTCATCCATGTCCCTACAAAGGACACAAACTCATCCTTTTTTATGGCTGCATAGTATTCCATGGTGTCTATGTGCCACATTTTCTTAATCCAGTCTGTCACTGATGTGGACATTTGGGTTGATTCCAAGTCTTTGCTATTGTGAATAGTGCCGCAATAAACATACGTGTGCATGTGTCTTTATAGCAGCATGATTTATAATCCTTTGGGTATATACCCAGTAAAGGGATGGCTGGGTCATATGATATTTCTAGTTCTAGATCCTTGAGGAATCGCCATACTGTTTTCCATAATGGTTGAACTAGTTTACAATCCCACCAACAGTGTAAAAGTGTTCCTATTTCTCCACATCCTCTCCAGCACCTGTTGTTTCCTGACTTTTTAATGATCGCCATTCTAACTGGTGTGAGATGGTATCTCATTGTGGTTTTGATTTGCATTTCTCTGATGGCCAGTGATGATGAGCATTTTTTCATGTGTCTGTTGGCTGTATGAATGTCTTCTTTTGAGAAATGTCTGTTCATATCCTTTGCCCACTTTTTGATGGGGTTGTTTGTTTTTTTCTTGTAAATTTGTTTGAGTTCTTTGTAGGTTCTGGATATTAGCCCTTTGTCAGATGAGTAGATTGCAAAAATTTTCTCCCATTCTGTAGGTTGCCTGTTCACTCTGATGGTAGTTTCTTTTGCTGTGCAGAAGCTCTTTAGTTTAATTAGATCCCTTTGTCAATTTTGGCTTTCCTTGCCATTGCTTTGGTGTTTTAGACATGAAGTCCTTGCCCATGCCTATGTCCTGAATGGTATTACCTAGGTTTTCTTCTAGGGTTTTTATGGTATTAGATCTAACATTTAAGTCTCTCATCCATCTTGAATTAATTTTCGTATAAGGAGTAAGGAAAGGATCCAGTTTCAGCTTTCTACTTATGGCTAGCCAACTTTCCCAGGACCATTTATTAAATAGGGAATCCTTTCCCCATTTCTTGTTTTTGTCATGTTTGTCAAAGATCAGATGGCTGTAGATGTGTGGTATTATTTCTGAGGACTCTGGTATATTCCATTGGTCTATATCTCTGTTTTGGTACCAGTACCTTGCTGTTTTGGTTACTGTAGCCTTGTAGTATAGTTTGAAGTCAGGTAGCATGATCCCTCCAGCTTCGTTCTTTTGACTTAGGATTGTCTTGGCAATGCAGGCTCTTTTTTGGTTCCATATGAACTTTAAAACAGTTTTCTCCAATTCTGTGAAGAAAGTCATTGGTAGCTTGATGGGGATGGCATTGAATCTATAAATTACCTTGGGCAGTATGTTTAATGTAACATAACTGTTGACATTATCCTTAAAATCTATCCAATCTGACTATTGTTCATTATCCCAATTTCTATCACTCTAGTCTAAGTCACTAGTATATCTACTTTGATCCCTGTCATGCCTACCATTCCTATCTCTGCTTGTATTGTGCTAAATTGCATACCACACATAGGAGCTAAAATGATCCATTTAAAACATAAATAATGTCATGTTGATTTCCCGCATAGACTTCAATAACATTTCACTGAACTTAGAATAAGGTGCAAACAATTATCATGGTCTACGAGAGACTATATAGTCAGACAACTACTCAAGACATTGCCTTTCTCTCCTTCCACTCTTCTCTCATTCATTTGACTTCATTAGTACTAGACATGTTGGTATTTCTTGGAAATAACAATTCTGTCCTGGCTAAGGCCCTTTTGTGCTTGGTGTTTCCTTATCCTGGAGTATCCTTTGCCCACACCTTGGTCTGAATTGCTGCCTTTCTTCATTAAGGGATCTGTCTAAATATCTCAACAGAGAGAGTGTCCCTTAATGATCCTATTTAAAGTGGCATGAGACAAGTAGAAAGTAGTCTGTGTTGTTTAAAGTGCTAGAAAATGTTGAAACTTGGTATTTTGGGGAAAAATCACTGAAGATTTTTGCCTGATATTTTTTCTCATCAGCTAGAAAAGTGGGAGAAAATAATGTATCTTCACAGAGTGCGGCAAAAATCTGAGGAAATATCTGCAGGATAATGGCTCCTTAACTGCATAACACAGTAAAGATATAAAATTCCATTTTATTGGTGATTGTAAATAATTGGGGGCAGTATTTTTTCTGACAGTGCTGATGTGGGAAAACCATATATGCAGCGCCTATATTTGTATGATGTTTGGATTTTACAGCTCACAAATATTTGTATAGTTTTCTTCAAAGTCATCCTGTGACAATAAAAAATAGTACTACCTGTATTATCATAATTTATATATGAGAAACTGAGGCCCAAAAATAGTGAAATGGCTTGCATTCACAGCCTACAAGTGTTAGATTTTGCACCTTATACCAACTTTTATCACTACAAATTTAGTATTTTTTCATAGCACTGTATAACAGAAGGGGTAAATGCTAGAGAAAAATACATAAACCCAAATAGTCAATCTAATTAGATCCATGTTGAAGAATTATCTATTAATTATCTAGTAATTTTGATAAATTATCTATTAATGCATTTAAACAAATAATGAACCATTTCTCTTTGATACATTATCTATTAACGTGTTATACAAATACTAAACCATTTCTGCTTATGCAAGGAAAGATACTTTTTCTATTGCTACAGTTATAAAAGCAAAAAGAAATTACAAAATGGTTGGAGAGAGTTAACAGTAGTTGTTGAGTTCCTGAGTTTGTCACCACAAATGGGAGGCTTTCATAGACCTTAAAATTAACTTCTTTCATTGCCAGTTGACCGGCTGCACAAGACAGCCTGCAGATCTTCATTAATTGGATTAAACAAGCTTGCTATGTTTTTCTTTCTAGCAACACAAGCTATATAAAAATCTCCAAAGAGAATGCCCTTCTTGACAAGATTTATTCCTGACAAGCTGTCAAAGCAGCATAAAGCCAAGGCTTCAGTGAATGAATATAAATGAAGATCACCACTCTATGTACAATATCCAAGAAGGAGATGTCTCCAGGTCATAGATCCTGGAACTGTATGTTAAGAAAGTTTTTAATCTGTTAGAATTCTAGGTATGAAAGGCATTGTGTGGCCACTCAAACCTTATTTTATAATTACAGAGGGAGCACCATACTTTAATTATGATGGTTCTAGAAGATCATTTTCATGACCACTGCTTCAAACTTTAACGTGTTATCATCAGAGAAATCAGCACAGAGCACAAAGCTTTCAGTTTAAAAATGTATGTTATTGTTTATTGTTTAAATTTTTATTAATTGCTACTATTTTCAATGTTCTATGTTAAATTCCACAGAAGACACAGAGAAAATTATTGATTTTCTGCCCTATCATGGTTATTGTCTAGAGGATGGATAAGATGTTTATGCAGATGACCAGGGGATGAAGAAGAAAGTAATCATTTCTATAAAAAAATACTAAGTTTGGGAGTTTGGGAAAATGCTTATTCTTATCATAGAGTCTGAGTTTCAGAGCTGGGTAGTTAGAGATTATTTAGTCTATTCTTCTCATTTTAGGTATGAGGGAATCTAAGCCCTGGTTGGAAAAATTAGTTTTTTAGTTTGTGTAGCTACTTAGTAACAGATTCAGGAGCAAAATAAGCTATCTGAGTTCCCAGTCTTCTAATATTTATAGGAATGGATGCACACAATAGTTAAGAATAATAGTTAGCCTTGGGACTCAGGAGAATTCAACACCTGGATGTATTTTATACCAGGCAGCCAACTGGTGGCCACATTCACCATTTAGAATCCTGGCTAGCTTCTCACGCCATATCTAACTATGACTTTTCCAGTGAGAGCTCTTCAGGGAAATGGGCCAGGGCTTTAAGAAAAGAAACAAACAAACAACAACAACAACAACAAAAAACAATTCTAGCCTTCAACAATCTGTACAACATCTAACTCTTAAATTGCTCAAGATTCTGGCTCATCACAACTCTCTCTACAACCTTTAATACCAGTGCCTTCAACTACTGTCATTGACACAATATCCTGATCGGTCTTCATCCAGAACCCAGGTTCATACTGCCTATTGGACAGTTACACCTTAATATCTAAATAACATATCTAAATGGAAATATAACTGTAATAAAATGGGAAATCTCTAAAGCTGAGGTCCTTACCTCTGTTGCTGTGGTGTATTTCTCCTGTTCTATGCTCCCTCTCTCCGTGCAATTAAACCTGCAAAATTTTAAAATCATTTGTCAATTGCGTTTCCACATTCATAAATCATTTTCTTTCTTGCCTCCTGCTCTCTAAAAGCTTCCCTGGCTTTTCTTTTCTCTGTGCTCTACCGCTTACTAGAGCTGACAAATTTCTTAAAATCCCTGGGGGTTAGCATTTGCAATTGTAAAAGAAGGATGGTCATTTCAGTTACCTTAAAAAAGATTATTATGCTGGAATCATGGGGGTTATTGGATGACTTTTTCTGCTTATTTTTCTTTTGTGTTACTTTCTACATTTTCTGTAAAGAGCATTATTTACTTTAATAATAGCCAAATAAATGCACAAAATTAAAGCAAAAAAAAATAAGAATTTTTTGTGCCACTTTTGCATTTTTATTTGAAAATGATATTTTCCTCTTTTAAATTCAAACAGCAATAACTAATTATACAATGAAAAATCCCTTCATCTGTGGCAAAAACTGGTAACTATCGAGCAAAATGTTTTGCCTCTTACCATGGCACGCAACCAAATTGCCGCATTGTCAGACTCACTGGCACTTAGGTGTCACCACGTGATAGATTCCTAGCCAACAAGTAAAAGTAGTAATGTGCAACCTCCAAGCCTTCCCATAAAAATCTCCATCTGCAATTCTCCATGCTCCTTCTCCTTCTTCTTCCAAATGAATTTTGCTATCTATGAGAACTTTGGAAGTCAGTGGGAAAAAATGTTACAAAGTCGGTCATCCTGGGTGACAACTGTACGACATAAGACACCCCCACCCTCATCATTACAATTAATGTAGAATCTCAATGAAGCGATATGTGAGCAAAAAGAGACTTCTATTGCATTTGAGCCATTATGTAATTTGGACTGTATATGTTATAGCAGTAAGCCAATTTTAAATATATCTGACTTCCCAAATTGACCACTTACAACAATCAGAATAGACTAGGTTTATTTGGTGGCAAACAAAACCCAAAATTCACAACAGTTTAAAACAGTAAAAGTTTATTTCTTGTTTCTGCAAACTTCTTGATAGTCCTGGTGACTGTCAGCCAGTTGTCCTTGTATATGAGTCAGCCATTCAAGCTGCTTTTACCCTGTGGCTCTACATTTTCAACACAAGACGCTGTGCATGCATACTGGCAGAATTTAAAAAGGGCTTTTCGTTTTTGTCAGCTCAAAAGTCAGTCGCACTCATTGTATTTGCCAGACCTAGTTTCCTGGCTTCAGTTAACTGCAAGAAGTATGGGAACTATAATCTTCTGTATGTCCAGGGAGAGAACTAGCTGTTAGTGAACACAGTCATGTCTACTACACAACTGTTATCTATTTCTAGAGAAATGAGGGTCTACTATATAGACAGTGTTTGAACTTTTGCTTTTTCATTTAACATATTTTGCAGATTAATATATAAATTATTCCTTTCTAATGGCAGAATTTATTCAATATGTCACTCATTGTCAGAAATTTGACTTATTTCCAGACATTTTCTATTGCAAACAGTATTGCTGTGAACATTATTTGAGTATATACTAGAATATCTATGAGATAAATTCCTAAAAATAAAATTTCTAGGTCATATTTGCATTTTTAATTTTGATATATAGTTTTATGATACATATATGTAATTTTATCCAATGAGTTTGCATGAATTTACATCATTGGCAACAACTTAAAAAGGAAGTTGTTTCCTTTCAAGTTTGCAATGACAGTATATTATTAAAATCATGTGAGGGTATTAGGTGTAATCTGCATAGTAGCCTATCACATTCAGTCATGCGTTATTTAACAATGGGGTGCCTTCTGCAAAGTGTGTCATTAGGTGATTTCCTCATTATGTGAACATCACAGAGTATACTTACACAAATGTAGATGTTATAGTCTGCTATGCAATTAGGCTAGATGGCATAGCCTAGAGGCTACAAAACTGTATAGCACATTATTGTGCTGAATAGTGTAGGCAGCTGTTGCACAATGTAAGCATCTGTGTATCTGATCGTAGAAAATGAACAGTAAAAATACAGTGTTATACTCTTATTGGCCTGTATATGTCACCTGTCTTGACTGAAACATCCTTATGTGGTACATGATTATATTTATATTTAACAGAGTAAACGTTACTGAATATTGATTTTGTTTCTAATACTCAAATTACATAAAACATTACACACAAATATGTACCCACATGCAGGGGCCTTTGAAAACAGTATGCTGAGAATAGATAGGGCTCAAGGACAGTATCTCCAATTGAACTTTTAATGAACTCCTGTAGGCGCCAAGAAGGCGGGCAGATAAGGAAGGGCATAGAAACAAAGAACTGAGTAGAAGGTTACATCTGGGAAAAGAAAGTTTGTTTTGCATTGCATTCTTTCTGCTGACATGGGGTTTATGGAGTATAAATAAAGTGAGGCGGAGGCTCTGAGCGCGGCCGCCATGTTCTCTGTGTGTCTTTGTCTTTTGTGTGTTCTTTCATTCTCCACCACCCCCGGCACCGACCCACATTTTAATTATGTTATTAGATTTTCCTTTTAGAAGTGGAATTACCATATCTACAAGTGTGAACTATTTTAATTTTCTTGATATTTTATCCAATTGCTTTACAAAAAGGTTTTACCAATTTACACTTCCTCCAGAGTTATATGAAGGCCCCTCTCACTTCACCTCCACCAATATTAGGTTTTATCATTTTTTAATCTTTGTAAACTAGTAAGCTGCATAAGGGCAATACCGGAAATTGACAATGCCACCTCTGTAACAACTAACTTATGGGACATTAGCATGGCAAATTCCATTATCAAAAATATTCTAAGGGGTATGTTTTCTTAGCGTTGCATTTTTTTACAATGTAGCATCTTTTGAGAGGTAGAATCACTATTCCCCAGTGGCATGTGGTTTTTGTGAACATTTCAGTCATGTTATCTTGTTACAGGAATTCTCTATTCCCCTGTTCCAACAAATATCCTAAGCTGTGCCAATTCAAGACCTTCCTTAATATTAATCTACAGAACCTGGAATAAATAAGCTGTTGCCCTTTAAGGGAAAGGGCAGTGTTGCTAAACTGAGAGGAAATATTACTGGAATGGCCAGGGGCTGTATCTTATTTAAAATATGAAGAATGAAGCTAAGCACAGATAACAAAAGAGAGAGATAAGATTTTAGCAATTCTGAGTGCATAATTCCTGCCCTAGGTGCTTTGTTTTTCTATATCTCTTGCTTTCAACTTGAAGCTATTCTTTTCTTCCCAGCCAGTGAGTTACTTTTGTATAAACTAATTTGAGCTGAATTCTTACCTTTTGCAACTGAAATAATTCCTACTAATACACACATTAAAGCAGTACCTTTACATACTTCTCTGCTACTTTGCATTCTGATAACCAGAATGTTAGTCATCATAGACAATGTAAATCTTATTAAATTTCATAAAGAAAGCAGTATTAGATCCACAAGTGTCTCCCAAATATACAAAGATATTTTTCAGAACTTGATATAATTTTAATTACTGTATTGATTTGATTACAATATATTATTATAAACTAGAGATCCTTTTCTTGATATGTAATAGATGAGTCCAAAACCTATTAGCTTCCAACCCTGCTGAGTACCTGTTACAGAATTTTACTCTTTCGTGTCCCTTGAAATAGGAGTCAAAGGCTATATTTTGGAGTAAGAGGCAGGTGCTTACATCTGGACATCTAGCCAACCTTTAAAGCTGAACTAATCTAGAGTAGCTAGTCTTACAAAATTGAATAGATTGTTTTAGTTCAGTTTCCTCACCTATAATAACCTCATTTGAATGACTGTTAGAATCCCTCCTTGTTCTCACATTCTAATGAATTTTATAGTAAAAACGAATCAATTTTATAGTAAATTTAACTTCAAAGTAGCAAGTCTGACCTTAATCCAGTCCAGTTTATGTTGAATAAATAAAACATTGCTTTCATTTATTCTCCTGTTGACGTAAAAATGAACTAGACACTTTACAAATCTTCTGCTTTTATTTCTTTTATACAGTCACAATGACTTAGGTGTTTCTGAATAGCCTAGATCAATTAAAGCATTATATATCATTTGACATTTCAAAATCATTAGTTAAAAAAAGTTACATTTCTGGTGGATTGATTATTCTGTGATTATATAAGGTCTATAAAATTTGTTCCTAGTTATATTAATAAATAATTATATTTGTAGGTTTATCATAAGAACTGTAGTTCTAAATACCTTTTATTTAAATAAACTCATGATTTTTCTGAATGGCAGTTAAATAGATATGGACATCTTTTTAGAAAACTATTAAATCAAGGTTTCCTTTGGGCATGCAATTGCTTGGCCTTGATATGGATTTTTAAATAAGCATGTTAAAACTGTGGGATTCTCTTTCTTTTCTTTATTTTTTTATCAAATCAAGAACCCATGAAATGAAATGATGTTACAGTAGAAACTACATTTGGCAAATAGAATGAGAGTAACAGCTCCAATTTTCTACTTTTTTTTTCTTCCACATTAACATAATTCCATTAAGAATATCTACAGAGAATTTCTGGTGTGCAAGACCATACATCAGATATTGCAGAAGATAAAAGAAATGAAACAGAAGTAACTCTATTCGAAGGTGAATGCCTTCTCCAGCAAAATGAATAAAATGCACACATGCAAAAAATTATCGTCGTTACTTACATATTTATTGGGCATCTTTTGTCTCCAGGAAACTTACATTTTAATGAGAGAGACATACATAAAATAACTTTAAATACTGCTATGAAGAAAGTAAAACATCACAATAAAATAGACAGTAACTGGGAAGTTACTTTACGTTAGATGATCAGAGAGCTTACTGCAGCAGTAGAATATAAACTAAGACCTGGATAACAAGAAAAAGCCAGTCAGAAAGATCTGAAGAAAGTATTTCAGGATGAGTGAATAGTTCAAGGCCTTAAGGCATTAATATAACATATTACTAACAAAGGAGGCTTATGCTGAGGTGCCCTAGGACAAGAGGCCAAGAGAATTCAGAG